TCCTTCATCTACTTCATATTTCTCTGTCTTCTCATTTTGTTTAACTTACTGTGTTTGGGGTCTCCTTTTCACAGGCTGCAGGTTCGTAGTTCCTGCTGTTTTTGATGTCTTGCCCCAGTGGGTGAGGTTGAACTAGTGGCTTGTGCAAGCTTCCTGGTGGGAGGGACTGGTGCCTGTGTTCTGTTGGGTGGGGCTGGATCTTGTGTTTCTGGTGGGCAGGGCCATGTCCGGTGCTGTGTTTTGGGGTGTTTGTGAACTTAGTATGATTTTAGGCAGCCTCTCTGGTAACAGGTGAGGTTGTGTTCCTGTCTTACTAGTTTTTTGGCATGGGGTGTCCAGCAGTGGAGCTTGCTGGCCGTTGGGTGGACCTGGGTCTTAGCATTGAGATGGGGATCTCTGGGAGATCTCTCACTGATTGATAGTACATGAGGTTGGGAGGTCGCTGGTGGTCCAATGTCCTGAACTCAGCTCTCCCACCTCAGAGGCCCAGGGCTGACACCAGGCCAGAGCACCAAGACCTTGTCAGCCACATGGCTCAGAAGAAAAGGGAGAAAAGAGAAAAGAAAATTTTTTAAAAATTTAAAAAACTAAAATTTAATAAATTATTAACATAAAAAATAATAATTTTTTAAAAAAGAGAGAGCAACCTAACCAATAAACAAATCCACAAGTGATAAAAAGCGCTAAAAACTAAACTAAGATAAACATAAAAATCAGAAACAAATCAGTTGCAGACAGCAAACTTCAAGTCTACAGTCGCTCCCAAAGTCCACTGCCTCAATTTTGGGAACATTTGTTGTCTATTCAGGTATTCCACAGATGCAGGGTACATCAAGTTGATTGTGGGGATTTAATCCGCTGCTCCTGAGGCTGCTGGGAGAAATTTCCCTTTCTTTTCTTTGTCCGCTCAGCTCCTGGGGTTCAGCTTTGGTTTTGGCCCCGCCTATGGTGTAGGTCTCCTGAGGGCATCTGTTCCCCACCCAGACAGGAGGGGGTTAAAGCAGCAGCTGATTAGGGGGCTCTTGCTCACTCAGGCCAGGGGGAGGGAGGGGTACAGTAGTCATAATTGGAATGTGGGGCGAGCCTGTGGTGGCATAGGCTGGTGTGACATTGCACCAGCCTGAGGCATGGCGTGTGATCTCCCAGGAAAATTGTCCCTGGATCACAGGACCCTGGCAGTGGTGTGCTGCACAGGCTCCTGGGGTGGTGTGGATAGGGACCTGTGCTTGCACACAAGATTCTTGGTGGCAGCGGTAGCAGCCTTAGCATTTCATGCCCATCTCTGGGGTCTGAGTTGACAGCCGTGGCTGGTGCCTGTCTCTGGAGGTCATTTAGGTGGTGCTCTGCCTTCTGTGGGCAGACGGGGAAGGAATCCCCTCTCCTCGCGCACCCCAAAACAATTGTCTCTTGCCTCTTCGGCAGTTCCAGACTTTTTCCCGGACTCCATCCCGGCTAGCTGTGGTGCACTAGCCCCTTTTAGGCTGTGTTCATGCAGCCAACCCCAGTCCTCCCCTTGGGATATGAACTCCAAAGCCTGAGCCTTAGTTCCCAGCCCCCACCCGCCCCGGCGGGTGAGCAGACAAGCCTCTTGGGCTGGTGAGTGCTGGTCGGCACAGATCCTCTGTGCAGGAATCTCTCCGCTTTGCCCTCTGCACCCCTGTTGCTGTGCTCTCCTCCGTGGCTCCGAAGCTTCTCCCCCGCCCACCTCCCGTCCCCACCAGTGAAGGGGCTTCCTAGTGTGTGGCAACTTTCCTCCTTCACAGCTCCCTCCAAAGGTGCAAGTCCCGTCCCTATTCTTTTGCCTCTGCTTTTTCTTTGTTCTTTTGCCCTTACCCAGGTACATGGGGATTTTCTTGCCTTTTGGGAAGTCTGAGGTCTTCTGCCAGCATTCAGTAGGTGTTCTGTAGGAGTTGTTCCACTTGTAGATGTATTTTTGATGTATTTGTGGGGAGGAAGGTGATTTCCACATCTTCCTCCTCCACCATCTTGAAGGTCCCCCCCAGTTCCTATACTTTTTATGGCCTAATTCCCTATTTTATAAGTTTGAGGCAATGGAACCAAATTGATGTACCTTATTTACCTCTAGAGTGATTTCGGTACTTATGGTCATGTAGATTATTTATATAGGTTCAATAAGAATCTGTCCTTTTTCTTACCAGAATATAATTAAATATTCACTATGCCAAAAATTCCACTTAATTAGGCGTGATAAGCCCTTTATTAAGGAACAAAGACTACATTTTACATGTGAGAATGACATCTATGAAGTCCTCCCAGGAAAACTTCTCTGGGATGGCTTTATGACTTATGAAATTCCAGCCTTACTGGTAGTAAAAATTTCATTTCCTGGCAGGCATATTAACAAATATGGGAATCTTAGAGAAAATAGTGCTAATAAAGTTGGTAAAATTTCTCCTGACACAAAAGTTATTCCCAGCCCTAGGAGTTTTACAAGCCTCCAGACAGAAGTTCACTGTCAAGCCTCAATGTCATGTGGCTCTAATTCTGTTAGCCACTCAAAAAGGAAGTGTTTATATGTTACATCAACTCCTCTTGTTATGCCTGTGGAAATAAATTTTAGTCAAATAAAACAAAATATCAATTTAATAACACTGAGTCAGAAAACTGTTAATCGGCTTAGGTTTTCTCAAAGGCAAGAACTTGCCCACAGGAAAAGAAGAACTGCAGAAGCAAAACCTGACACTTTGCTCTGCTTCATTCATGACTGAGTACCACTGCGGGGTGGGGGTGGGGACATTCTACATCTGGAGATAATCCAAAAACAACAGGGTATCGTGACTGGCTCAGGACTCCAAAATAATAAACTCTGATTATTTCTCATAAAGATGGACTCTGGCAAAAACAATTTTTTTCTCCTTGATTTTTACTATGCTAACAAGTGAAGATAAACTGTGAATATGATGGACATGTGAGAAAGCTGCTAATTTCTACCATGAATATTGTAGCCTTGGTCATCTTCTTTTCCCTTTAAATACTTGTTGTGATTTGTATTTGACAAACCAATCTTTCTTTCTGAACTTGGACTCCCTTTTTGCTTTTGCAGTAAATTGTTTATTTGTCCAAATGTTTCTGTCTCTGAGTCTTTGATGGCATTTACTATGTGCTGACACTAACACCATATGCTGGAGCTGAGGACTTGGAAATGAACTTGGAGGAAGACACCTGCCTGTAAATAAAGAACTTCCCCTCAGATATTTGGCGGGATGTTAACACCACCTTCATTTGCTCTGACACTCCATGCAAAAGGAACGGATCCTCAAAACAGTTACGCCCAAGAGGCCACCCCTCTCGTCTGTGCCTCTCTTGCCCTACCTCATGCTTCAACCACTCTTGAATCCTCCCAGGTCTTGGAACATGGCAGCCTCTTCCCACCCCAGGCTTCTTCTGTTTCTCCTGTCTTACATGTTTTTGCCAAGCTAGTACCTGTTCCTTCACAATTCAGCTGAAACATCATTTCCCAAGGAAGAGTTCCCTGACCACCTGTAGCCTTTTATAAACTCTCCTAACCCTCAGAATTGCCTTGTTGAACTTTTCACAGTTGTAATAATTTATGTGATCCTTTGTTTAATGTCCATATTCTTTGCCAGACCATGTACTTCATGAGGACAGGCACTGATTCTCTGTTTTCGCTCACCTTTCTGCCCTCACCACCTCCCACGGTGCAAGGCAACTGTGCGTGCTCAGTAAGCATTGGTTGAATGAGTAAACGAATGATAAGAGCAGCGTGGGGGCTTAGAACAATTGGACCAGGGAAAAATTGTCAGGATGTTTGTTTTGCGATTTCATCGTACCTCCTGTGTGGGTTATTCACAAGGTGACAAGAACTATTGAAAGAGATGAAATTTCTAGAATTTCAGGTTCCAAACAAAATAGAAGAGTTTGGAGTTATGTACCATCTTGAGATCATTCATGTTTTCGGTCGTTCAATAAATACTTTACTAAGCATCTACTATGTGTCAAGTACTAGGGACGGACACAAAGGTGAATAAAACAGACACAGTCCTTGCCTTTACTGAGTTTACAGTCTAGTGAGGGAGGCAGACATTAATGACATCCACACTGACACACGAGATGTAAAATTATAACCGAGTCACGTGCTAGGAGGAGAGGTACAAAGTACACTGACAGACCCAATAGGGGTTATCCCTCACTAGGGAGTCTGCCTTTTCCACAGGTGCCTGCTGAGCTGCAATCTGAAGGATGAGTAGGAGTGTTTAATTAAGCATATGCAGAGTATGACCTGCTGAATAAGGATGCACAAACCGTACACACAGAGTGGGCAGGTAACTCCCTCACTGTCTGAGCTTCCGCTTTGGGGAAATGAAAACCCCAGGGCAGTTTTGATTGAAGGCACAGTTTCAATACACTCACACAAAGAAAGTAAAGTGACAAGATTTATTACTTACAGATTCCAGAAACAGAGGAGGGAGGTGTGCATTGAGCTGGGGGCGGGGGCAGTCCTCTGTCCTGGGTCACAAGCCAGCAGGAGACAGAGAGTAAGCGCCTTTTACTTATAAGGTGGTTGGGGAGCACCACTAACTTTTCCAGGGCTCAACTTTAAGTGCTTATTTCAAAAGGTGTCCTGGGAAATGCAAAGCAGGACCTTGTGGCTGGAATCCTAAACTCAGGTCCTTATCTAAATGTCCAGACTCTGGGTGTGAGCGGAGTTATACTGTAAAATGCCTAGGCAGCAACTCAAAATAGCTGCCTCTTCACAGGAAGTGATGCAAACATGAAGTTCATGCTGCTTGACGTGCCATGAATAAGTCCTTTGTCTCTGACCTCGGGTTCTTGTGTCTTCTGCCAGAATCCATGAGATTCTGTCTATCTCATTAACTTGCAAGTAGTATAAAATCTCAGGCCCTTCATAGTTATTGACAGGCTAGTAGATGACATATAAAAGGGCACTATGGTGGGAGAGAGTAGAGCAAATATAAGAAAGAAGGCATGAATGGATGAGTATATGGAGTGAAGGGGGCATGGCGTGAGATGAAGCTGAGAGGTGGTGTGCCATGGGACCCTTGGCCAATCCTGCTGGGGCAGGCCCAGGGGATGTCTTGGCTGTTATGACAATGCCACCTTCATGCAGGACATGTGGAACTAATAAACTGGCTTTGGGGGAGGACAGGACAAGGCTTGGGCTAATCTGTGCCTATGAAGTAATTTTTAACAAAGGAAGAGAGTGAACTTGGGTGTTTTCTTAACATCCTGCACCCTGTTATGAACATTTTTACGTGCCTACTACTTTGTAATACTTTCTATTAGAGATTAAAGGAAGTCCACTTCCCAGTGCCCTAAACAAACAAGGGAAAGTTGTCATGGACTATCATTGCTGTCAATCATCTAGGGTACAAAAGAAGGCTAGTTGCCTTAAGAGGGTGAAGCCATGACCCTTTAGTGTTCGTGAGTATGACTCTGGACAAACTGCTTTCTGACCATTTCTCTTAATAAAGAGATGTTTCAGTTTCTAGGGAGAGGAAGGAAGAGAAGGGGGACAGAGGGAGAGACCTCACCAAGAGAGGACTGTGAAATCAGTGTGGCTAACATTGGATTATTACCTAATATGATTGTAAAAATAAAGGTATCTGTTCAGAAGCCCTCTGTCCCATTCTGGCAATTGGAGTTCTGAACTTTTCACTCCCGGCCTATTAATTAATTTATAGCCTGCAAAGAATGGAGTTGTCCAGGATCTTTGGCCCAAAAAAAGTACCCACAAACAGGGAACAAATCATGCAGAGCCTTGTTAAGAAGTTTTGTTCTTATCTGAAGCGTGATAAGAAACCACTGAAGGATCTAGAAAGGGGTGGCATCATTACACTCAGGTGTCAACAGAGAGGAGCTGAGAGTGTGGAGATTATGCATCTCCTGAGATTGTCTGCTCCTGGGGGAAATCAAGAGTTCCCTGAATTTTTACTCCTTGGTACTTCACTGCAGCCCCAGGCTTGCCAGATTCATACTCATTTTAACGGGCCTTTCAAAAAGGAAGCAAAGCGGCACCAGGTCTCAGAGCATTCTCAGCAATTTCCCACTCCTCTCCAGCCTTTCTTTAAAATAATCAGCACAGGCCAGCTGTGGGAAACAGCTTGGCGAGGGGGAGTGGGTCAGGCAGGGTGCTGCTGGGCTCAGGGAGAGAATAAATAACAGCCTTTTGCGGGGGTTACTGCTGGTTACAGAACTCAATTGTGCCCAGTTTCAACCTGGCCAAGGGCCCGGACAGAGGGCTGGAGAGGCAAAAGTAGAGGCTGCCAGAAAAGCCCGGAAACTGCTGGCTTTTGGAGGAAGGTGAGTGGGAGGCTGAGTTACTGGCCACAGGAGCCCCCAGATCATCCCCCTGATGGCTTTTCTGCCAGCAGGTGCCTCAGGAAGACCTGGCCCACGTTTTCAGAACTCCCCAGGGTTTCTCAATCCACCTCAGGCGGCCCGCAGTGCTCGGCCCCGCCACTTTCCAGCCTGCTAGTTCCTTCACTGACACACAGCTCAGTTCTGTACATGGCATGGTTTGGGGTGCGGGGGAGTGGAGTGGGACAGGTATAAAAGGAAGTTGGACGCCCAGGGAAGCGTCCTGTCTAGGCAGCTGGGCACCAGGAGCCTGAGGGCAAAGGAAGAGGCCATGCCGTGCCCCCCTCTGCTGCAGCCAGGATGGGTCTGAGGGTGGCTCAGACAGGTCTCTGGGTTGGCCACAGAGCCGCTCTGCAGAGGGGCTGGCCTCCTACCTGCTGTGGGAGGGGTAGCAGAGTTGTTGGGGGGAGAGATGAGGAGGCGGGTGTGAGGAGGCCCTCGATTCCTTTATGGTGGGGGGTGCAGGGAGCAGGGGGAAGGGCAGGAGGTACTTGCAGGGGGTCTCCCTTCAGGTTTTGTGGTCCTGGTGCTGCCCCAGAGCTGTAAGTAACCCCTTTTAAGTCACGGGAAGTGGGGGTGTGGTGAGGGCTGTGTGGAAGGGACCTTGCCACTGAGGTAGTGCTTTTCCAGTTTCTTCTGTGATTCAAATGGTTCAGAAATATTAGCATTTGTTAAACCAAGGTGATGAGTATATAGGTGTTGATTATACTATTCTCTACTTTTCTGTATATTTAAAATTTTTGAAAATTAAAAACTTTCAAAGGCTCAGGTTCAATGAAAGCTTCAACTAATCGCTTACTGGGAACCACTAACAGGAGACCAGTAGCAGCATGGATGAGTGATGCCCAGTTATTCCTCCACAGTCAAGAGGGCAGAAAAGGCCTACTTTGCAGCAGGAAAAATTAGAATGAGCGGGGAGGAGGAACTTCCGGGTCCATTGGGATATTGTGCCCCAGCTCGGGGGATGGACTGAAGGGGCCTGGGGGCTGCCATTCTGGGTGGGTTACAAGTTAGGGGCACTCCCACAGGAAGGCAGAGAAGAGATGGGCCAGAGCCTCTCAGATCAAGGACTCCACTGAAGGTCCTGCAAGACTCTCGCCTGAAGGCCAGGGTCTTCTGATATGGCTGTCGGGTCCCTCTTCTCCTTCCAAGTCACTGCCTCCAGGAAGCCTTCTTTACTTGTACCAAGTCCCATTTCATCTTTATTCATTGACACCCCCTCACCCCATACAGTTTTCTGTTCTTAGTCTGCAGTATGTTTATCTACTATATTTGATCTTTTCTAAGCATTTTCAAAATAGACCTTATTTTCATCAGACAGAGGACTCCCCTGAGCCAGCCCTTTGCATTTAGAATTCTAACTTTGCTCACAATTCTGCCCATCAACCCCGCCCCCCAAAAACCCCATTAGTGCTCAGCTCAGGGCTCAGCCAGAGGGTCCCTGGCTCAATCTTGGCCTTCTCCTCAGGTGCTGCATACAAGCTGATCTGCTACTACACCAGCTGGTCCCAGTACCGGGGGCGGGGGGCGGGGGTGATGGGAGCTGCTTCCCAGACGCCATCGACCCCTTCCTCTGTACCCACATCATCTACAGCTTTGCCAACATAAGCAACAATGCGATTGACACCTGGGAGTGGAATGATGTGACGCTCTATGACACACTGAACACACTCAAGAACAGGTTGGGCCACTGGCTGGCCAGGGAAGGAGGAAGATGGAGGGTTAGCAGGGCTGGTCTCAGGGCAGCGTACTCCTGCTCAAGAGGGTGGGCGAGGTCCCCAGTACTCACCTCTGGGTGGAGAACTGGAGGGCCTTGGCTTAAGTGGGAAGAAGTGATGAGAGCAGGTGTCAGGGTGTAGAAGGAGACCGTAGAAGAAGGTACAGCTGAGCTCCCCTGGGAAAAGGACCCCTCTCCATCCTCTGAGGGTGCCTCTCCACGGAGAAAGTCCTTATGACTCTATTTTGCCATATCCTGGCTTCCCCGCTGGAGGGAACAAATATGGGCAACATATCTCAGAGTAACTGCCACAAATGCTTAGAAAGTCTTAGAATACCGAATCTCAGGGTTGGAAGGACCTCAGAGGCCTGATTCAGCCTCCCACCCAAAGCTAGAAGCCTGATACAGCCTCCTAAATGTGGGGCCACCCCATGTCACAGCAACTTCACTCAACCCCTGCCCTCCTGCCTCCCTGTGCCCCACAGGAATCCCAACCTGAAGACCCTTCTATCTGTTGGAGGATGGAACTTTGGTTCTCAAAGATAGGATGACTCATCCCCCAGAGGTTGATGGAATAGGAGGAGGCATAGCTTTCTCCTCATTCACTGGATGGGGGTCACAGGGACCCCAGACTGGTCAGGCACAGGGGTCTGAATGGTTGTCAGGAGCCTGCCTCATGTACAACCACGAAATCAGAGCGCAGAGAGGGAAAGGAACTTGTCAAGAGTCACACAGCAAGGTGGCAGCCAATGCCCTTTTTACTACTTCTCAGACATGAAAACAAAGAAATTTGGGGCGGCGAGGGATACTGTCCTAAGGAGAAGGAGAGAGATGGAATGAATGGGAAATTTGGGAGTGGAGACCCTGTGAGGACATCCTGGAGTGGGTAGAATTGGAGCAGGCTTTAAAAAGGGGGCAAAGATGGCCATAGCAGCTCTCATTTACTGAGCTGTTACTATGTGTCAGGCATCCTATCCAACCATTATCACATGTAATCCTCATAATAGCACTGTGAGATGTTACATTTATGCCCATTTTACAGATGAGAAAACTGAGGCTCAGGTTATAACCTGCTCAAAGTGGCTTGGCTAGTAGGTGATAGAGCCAGGGATATCTGGCTCCAAAGCACATGGTCTTTCTAAGATAATTGGAGGTGGGTCCTGTCCCAACCATGCCCTCCTAGAGCTGTGTGTGTTCAGACTCCCAGCTCCACATGCCCAGAGACCCTTCCAGAGGGCTAAGACACCCAGCGTATTGGTACTGAGCCCTCTACTGGGCTGATTTCAGTTCTAGATTTTCCAAAATAGCCTCCAACACCTGGAGTCGCAGAACTTTCATCAAGCTGGTGCCACCAATTCTGCGGACCCATGGCTTTGATGGACTGGACCGAGCCTGGCTCTACCCCAGGCGGAGGGACGAGCAGCATCTCACCTCTCTGGTCAAGGTGCTGGTTGGGTCAGGGAAAAGGGCAGGGAGGTAGGGAGCATCAGGGAGTGGGGAGGGCAAAAGCTGTCTTCAGAGATACTCTCCTGAGGCAGGCAAAGGGGGACTGAGGCCTCTTTGCTGCAGGGTCCTGAGATCTGGACCAGGGATAAGACAAACAAGCCTGTGTCCTGAGATCTCACACAGCAAGGAAGACATTTTTTGACAACAGTGGGAGGTAGGGTGGGGTTCTAAGAGGCAGAGGTCACTAAGCGGAGAACCCATTCCTCACTGCCTGTATTCATTCCCAAACCAACACTGCCCACTCCCCAGCATGCACTGCATCAGAGGTACTCAGTTACCCCAGGGACAGAGTGATCATTTAAACAAACTGTTCATGGTACAATATAAATCACTTTAATTTTGTGTTCTCCTTTATAAGCTTGAACAAAGCACAGACCAACAGGTAAATATCTTCCAGCATCATCTGAGGACCAAGTGGGATCACTCTCTATCCTCATGGTCCCTCCAGGACAGAGAATAATTGAGTGTTGATGAGTATGCACGGGGTGTAGGGACGAGATTGGTCCAAACAGTTTTTTAGGAAAAAGATGGGTGAGTCTGAGGATGAGACCACTTTATCGTTCCCACTGAGCTCCAGTCAGGTTGGAGATTACAGCAGACAGCGAAGGCCAATTACATGCTCAGAGATCTTTCGCCTCAAGGCTTGCTGTCACTCACCTGCCTCTCTCCCAACAGGAAATGGAGGCTGAGTTTGCAAGGGAAGCCCAGGCAGGAGCAGAGCAACTCCTGCTCAGCGCGGCAGTGTCTGCTGGGAAGATTGCCATTGACAGAGGCTATGACATCGCCCAGATATCTCGGTGAATCTCCTTCCTGATGCACTCTGCCCTAGCACTCCATGTACAATCAGAAGACTGGGCTTCTAGTCCCAGTTTCTCCAAAGATGTGTGACCTTGAGCAAGTCACTTCCCCTCTGTGTGCCTCAGCCTCCCCATCTGTCAAACGGGGCAAAACGATCCCTATCCTTCCTTTTCATTTGGGGTATTGCGCTGCTCAGATGAGAAAGTCGTTATGAATGTATGTATTTGTGGAAAAGGAAGCAGGGAAAGTTATACAAACCAGCCAATCACTAGTCTCTGGAGGGGCAAGGCAGCAGTAATGATACCTTTCATTTCTAGGCTGCTGGGGAGTCCACACAGTGCTGTCACATGCAGGTGGCCCCCTCCCTTTCCTGTTCACCCCGCCCCTCCTCCTCGCCCTGCCTCCTCATGCGTGAGAATGAGCAGTCCCCAGCCAAGCAGGCTGACCTCTCGGTGGAACAACGGCATGGGTCTTAGGAAACCCAAGAGTGAGAGACAAAGGCTCTTCGCTCTGACTTTAGAATCTTCTTTAGGGTCTTAGGGAGTGTAGACTTGGTGCTTTAATTGATCACTTAGAGGGTGGGAATGAGGTGGCTCTCAACCATTTGCCCCAAACACCTGAAGCTCATGTTCATGCAATCCACCTGCAGACCCTCCACCTTTGTGTGTGGAAACCTTACTTCCCACCAGGAGGAATCATAGGTTCAGGCCATCCTTTGATCCTGCTCTCTCCCGACAAGGCTAGCTGTTGATGCCACTTGTAATCTGCTTTCTCAAAGATGAATGTGGCTGGAGTGGAGGGGGTGACGTGTGTTGGAGGCCAGCTCTCAACTGTGTGCTGGGGGTGGATTGGAAGGACCCCATTCTTGCCTTGAATGCTCCTGTGGGACCCTGAACCCACGTCCCAGTGTGGCACAAGGGAGGTGGTCCAGCAGCCTAGACAGCAGGTCACTGGGTTCTGCTGGGTTTGGGGTTAATGGCTTTTCTCTTGGCTGCCTGTTTCTCCAGCTCACATCCTGCTAGGGTGGCGTGCTTTTTCAATTTTTCGCCTTGCCCTGCATCCACCCTTCCACAGACACCTGCACTTCATCAGCCTTCTGACCTACGACTTTCATGGAGCGTGGTGCCAGACCATAGCACATCACAGCCCCCTATTCCGGGGCCGGGAAGATACAAGTTCTGACAGATTCAGCAATGCTGTGAGTGTCCCAAAGGAGGGAGGGCTGAGAGGGGACCACAGACATGACACTTGCCAGAGCTCAGACACCAACCTCTCCACTCCTCAGTAATCCTGCAAGGGAGGGGTTATAGGGCCCACCTCACAGATGAGGAAACTGAGGCCCAAAGTTTATGCATTCTCCACAGCTCTGGGAACTGGGGAGGTGATTCTTCCATAAAGAGTCAGGACATCTCCTGACGGGCCTGTAGGGTGGACCTAGTGAAGGCAGAGGGCAGACTGAAGAGAGCACAGAGAAGGCTGGGGGCTGAGAGGGCAAGAGTCTAGTCTACACCTGCCATTGTTTGCTGTGTAACCTGGGCCAATCGCCAGAGTTCTGCAACTATCGAACAGTAATAATCCCTTCCTATACCTAAGAGGATTTTTTTCAAGACTGAAATTACACAATGCTTTTTAGACTGACATAATAGGTTCCCAGAAGGAAGGGAATTCCAGACGCGTCTAGACCTGGAACTCCACCTTTCAAGGCAGCAGTGGGAACTGCACAACCTTTCCCCTCCTAGACCACCAGCATCTAACTGCTCAAACTGTCCTGCCCTACCCACCCACAGGACTACGCTGTGAGCTGTGTGTTGAGGCTGGGCGCCCAGGCCAATAAGCTGGTGATGGGTATCTCCACTTTTGGGAGGAGCTTCACCCTGGCCTCTTCCAAGACAGATGTGGGAGCCCCGACCTCAGGGCCAGGAATACCAGGTCGGTTCACCAAGGAGAAAGGGACCCTCACCTACTATGAGGTATGAGCTGGGGAGAAGGTAAGATTTCCCGGGGCACCCGCAGCCCCGGGGAAGCTGAGCCTCCCACCCCACCCACACTGTACTCCTTTGGAAATTAAAAAAAATGTTCCAGCAGACCTAGCACTCTGGAGAAGAGGGAGGAGGAGGCCAGGCACATCCTGTCTGCACCCACTCTGGCCACTAAGTTGGGGCCTTCCTTCTAGCCCAGGAAAAAACAATGGCCAAGAGGTAGGTTCTTTTGTTTCGGCCCATCCTCTGCTGCTCTGTGCTGCCTTGGGCCGGTCCTCAGTGTCAAAGCACTATTTCCCACATCCCTGTTTAAGATGCAGGAAGCTAATCAGAGCCCCCATAATGCCCTCAGGTTACAGCAGCTACAGAATCCTGGGATCTTTGCATCTGTTTTAAGTAAAGTTGTGCGAAGCCTGCAGTCTCTAGGGGAAGATGTAGCCTGCAGGAAGAAGCAAGGGGCTGAGAGATTTGGGCTGTGGTGTCCCCCTGGTGACCCGCAAAGTCTCAGCACAGCTCCCCACACCACGCCTGCCCTGTTCTCTGTTCAGATCTGTGACTTTCTCCGCGGAGCCACGGTCCATAGACTCCTTGGTCAGCAGGTCCCCTATGCCACTAAGGGCAACCAGTGGGTGGGGTATGACGACCAGGAGAGCATCAAAAACAAGGTATGTACCTAAGACCACACCCCAAGTTGAAGAGGGGGAGGGAAGCCCCCTGCACCGAGGGTGGGGCTTGGCTACAGAGGTGTTTGGGGTCTCAGGTGTCTGCTTTTCTCTCCCATGGGGAGGTGTCCAGATAGCACACCCTCCATAAGCACCCTGGCCCAGGGAACCCAGCCCTGCCTGCTCTGGGTCTCCAGAGCAGGTGCGGTACCTGAGGAACAGGGAGCTGGCTGGCGCCATGGTGTGGGCCCTGGACTTGGATGACTTTCAGGGCACCTTCTGCGGACAGAATCTGCACTTCCCTCTCACCAGCGCTATCGAGGATGCGCTGCTGAGGTGCAGCCTTCGGTTCTTGGGCACACAGTGGAGCAGAGATCACTTGGCCCTGACTGGCTAGGAGCCTGATCACCTGCCCTGCTGGGTCCCCTGTTGAGCTTCAGTCTCCCTTCCTTGGGCCCATGCGGAGGGCCACAGCTCTGCCATCTGAGCTCAGCTCTGGTGGACAGGCAGGTAGGAGTGGGGCTGTGGGACCAGCACAGTGTAAGACACGGGGTCAGCACATAGCTGCTGATTAAGGAGCATGCTCAACTCCTCCAGGCCCCACACAAGGAGATTTCTTCCACTCCCTTACCCCCAGGCCTCTATGCCTAAGGACACCCTTTTGGCAAGCTGTACCACTGCAGAGTGAAATATCTTACAAGAAGCAGCGACCACGCTAATTATATCCTCTGCAAAGCCCAGCTTGAAACCTTTACTCAGGGCCATAATCAGGTCCCCACTCCACTTCCCTTTCCTGATTCTGCAGCTGCTCAATAAAGCACTGGGGCCCGCCAGTTACTAGCGCTTGCTTCAGTCTATCTTTGTGGTCCCACTGGACCCACGGGGCTCACCTCCCCCATCTCTTCTGGATTCCTCTCTCTCAGGCTGGGTAGTCCTGAGCTGCGGAAAATGAGACCACCCTGTCCTCTGCCGGGCCCCAAGAAGTCCCCCAAAGAGGCAAGCATCGCCAGACCCATCAGTCATGGACTTAACCCAAGAGGGCTGATGGGCTTCCGGATCTTAAAGTCATTGTCGTCCAGACTTCTCGATACAGTTCCTTGTTGAAAGAAGCCTTTTCTGTTTCCAGGGGCTAGCAAGCACTAGGAATGAAACCCTTTAACACCAACCCTTCATCTCCTCTCACCTCGGGGAGATGTAGGAGCCAACACAGGGTCAGGTTAGAGAGAGCCCTGACCCTGGACTCTCACGGCTAGAAGGAGACACCTATGTTATCTCACATACTCTCCCTCCGTCCCAGGCCTAGAGTCTCTACAGGGCTTGAGAGCTAGCCTTCCAACCTCCCCCCACACTCTCAGTGACCAGTTGCTCATTACCTTAGAGGAACCCTTTCCATTGCTGGACTGAAATCAGTCAGATGTCCTAGGGCTGTAACCCAGCCCTCTGTCTCTCCCCTCTTGGGACATAGCCCTCAGCCCATGCAGAGACCAAGACTCCTCAGCTGAGCCTGGGACATGAGGTGGGGGCCAGATGGGACGGGATGAGTCAAACGGGATGAGCGCAGACCAGCCAGCCTTCCAGGCTTTATGAAGTAGAGATGTTCTCAGCAGTTTCTGTGAACTCCCAGAGCCCCAAACATGCCTTGTATCCCAAGAGAGTTCAGCTGCATGCTCCAAAACCAAAGAGAATTTATCTGTGGATTCCCTAGTGTTTGGATTATCTGTGATTTGGCCTAGTGATTTGTGACACTGGTTTGAGGTGTGGGGAAGAAAATACCTATCGGCCTCCCTGAAATCTGAACCAGCTGGAGCAGGGCAGATGCAACTGATCCCAAGGTCACTGCCAAGCTAAAGGAAAAGAGAGTGAGAACTTGGCCAGAGCTTCAGGGGTACCTGGCATTTCACTGCTGGCCAATGGGCCAAGCATTCCCTCATCCCTGCCCACTGCCTACTCTACCACACAGGGGTCTTTGAAAAGCCAGGGGCTGTGAGTCCTCCAGGGAAGTCAACCCCCACCCTACCTCCCCTGGCCACCCTTCCCCCATCCTGAGACAGTCTCTGGAGGGCTGACTCAGGGTCCTGCAGAGTTAGTCACATTCACTTATAGCTGCAGAGTCAGAGGCCAGGGATAGAGATCGGGTCTCCAGTCCTGGAGGACTGCCCAGCAGGACACTGAGTCACCCGGCAGAGGGCACGGGCACCCAAGCAGGGCAGGATCTGGAGGCTCCCCTGGCCCTCCACTGCCTCTCCCCAACAAGGACAGCCACTGGTGAGAGGTGGCCACACTCCTGTGCCCCCAAGCCCCGGGGCAGGGGGAGAGCATGCATACCACTGAGGGACCTAAATAAATTACATGTGTATTGATTTTTAAATTATGGGATGTATCATACAAGCTAAAGAGTGCGTAAAATGTATTTGTTTAATTTAAAGAATTACTATACAGTGAAAGCCTGTGTAACCACCACCCAGGACAGGAAATGAGACCTCATTAGTGCCCCTGAAACTCCACAGTCACATACCTCCCTGTCCCTCTGCCCAGAGGCAGGCACTGTCCTGACCTTCCCTGCCTTCTTTTGTGGTCTCACCCGCTAGAGACACCCCTTGAAGAAGAGAGCTGGTGCTCCCCGTGCCTGAATTGAATATGAAAGGTGTCTCATCGCTCTCTGTGCCTGGCTCCTTTGCTCCCCGTTATGTCTGTTAGATCAACCATGTAGCTGAAGTTTGCTCATTTTATATTCCATTTTTGGTTTAGAGGAGCACACACATGTCACAGTTATTTAGGCATTCCCCTGCTGAGGGAGAGCTGTGTTCTCCAGATTTGGTGTTACAAACAATGCTGCTGTGAATGTTTGCATGCATGTCTCCTGGGGCACAGGTGTGAGACTTTCTGGGGGTGTAACTGCTGGGTCATAGAATTTGCACATTTTCAATCTGACTAGATACTGTCTCACTTTTTCCAAAGAGATTGCTCCCATCTACACTCCCACCAGCAATGAGAGTTCTTGTTACTTCCCCTCCTCCCTGACACATGTTATTTTCAGGCTTATTAAATCATTCCCAATCTTACTGTTTTATTGGATGAATGACTCAATGACTAGGAATTTGGGTGTACCTGCCTCATTTCCCCGTGGCATGCAGATGTCCTGCTTCGAAGAATACAAGTCTCAGAGTGCTGTCCTCCTCCAAGGTCTCTTCCAGACCTGTCTTATGAATTGATTTTACCCCCAAGGGCTAGGGGACTGTCATAGTGTTCTCTGTAACAGATGGGGAAACTGAGGTCCAGAGCAGGGATTGGAGAGGCTGGGTAACCAGGGGCCTTAGACTCCCTTCCTGGGGTCCCATTGCTAGAAGACCTTCCTCCAATCAGGCCCACCTTGGGCATCCCAATTCCCTCCCTCTCTAGGCCCTCAACCTCAGGGAATGTGAGGACCAGGGGAGTGTGGGACCCTAGGGACAAAGCTGGGAGTGCTCCCAAGAGAAGGCTGTTTCCAGGCTGTCTGGAACCCCAGCACCCAAGCTGAGAAGCCCTGGGCACAAGTGGTCCCCCAGAGGCCAAACACACAGAGCCTGATCTGGGTTCGTTCTCCAGATGGAAGCTCTCGTTCCCATTGCCCTGACCCCTGGCGCAGGCTCCTGGCAATGTCCCATCTCACCGATCTGTACCCTCCTCCCATCTGGGCACCAGAACCCTGCCTGCTGAGATCCAGTCGGGGTGATGGACGAGGTCGTGCACTCCTCAAGGGACCCTTGCAGTCCTCCGCCAGAGCTATTCCTGGCTTCAGCGCCTCCCCACGCACCCCCCCAGTCCCCCTGCCTGACCTGACCCCACAGCTGGGAATCATTTGACTGGGGGTGGGGCAGCCCCCTGACTATATAAGCCTGGACCTGGGTGTCCCAGGCACCCTGGAAGCACAGACCCTCCAGTGCTACTACCTGCGCCCTCCAGCCCGACCCTCCAGCAATCCTTGCAATGAGAGGAAAAGCCACCCGGGAAGCCCTTGCCTGTGGTCCGGAGGAGACTGCCTCTGAGTCTGCAAATGTGCCCACGACAGAGCCCTCTGGAGAAATGGCGGCACCGAAGTCTACCGGGGAAGAGCAGGCTCCCAAACCACAGGAGCCTGCCCCTCAGGCACCTGCCCCCGCAGCCTCTAAACCCGCACCTCCAAGTGAAGGTGACAAGAGGCGGGGCAGGTGGAGGAGGGAGGCAGCCTTGGCAGAGAGTGGTGCGGGGAGAGCTTTTGGCTACGAACCTCTTTATCTCCCCCTGCTTCTCCCTCAGATGTCCCCAGTGCCCCGCTGCTGCTGGCTGTGGAGGACGTGAGTGACAGCTCGGTGACTGTGAGCTGGGAACCCCCGGAGAGGCTAGGGAAGCTGGGGCTCCAGGGCTATGTTCTGGAACTCCGCCGAGAGGGAGGTGAGCTATGGGCTAAGCCCTGCATACACCCAGGGGAGGTGGGCTTAGAGGGCAGCAGGGACAAGCCCCCAGACTCTGCAGTTGGGTCAGTCCAAGGGGAGATACAGAAAGAGGGAGAGGAAGCAGTCCGCTCAGGCCACTCACACACAGCTTCTTGCTCCACCAACGCACCTCTGAAAGCAGGAGGATGTCCAAACGGCCTTAGGAGGCCCCCTGTCCTCCAGCTCCAGGAAGCCTCTGAGTAACAGAGATAAAAGGGTAGGTGACAGTGGGGCACTCCTCTGTGAGAATGAAGGAGGTGCTAAGTCTCAGAGGACCCTGCTTGGGGAGGGCAAGCAGGAGGTGGAGAGCAAAAGAAGCTGAGGGGGAGGGTAAGTTGTAAGAGAGAGTGAGGAGAAATAGGGGACGGGCGGCTCTGGCCAAATTCCTCATGCCAGCATCCTGTTATCCACCTCCATGGCAGTCAAGTTCTTCATACGTGTGGCTGCCTTTGCCCCTACCTTGCTGTGTGATTTGGCAAATGTGCCCAACCCTCTCTGGGCTCCGGGCAAACCCATCTCTGGCCACCACTCAAGGGTTCTAACGTCAGGTGTCTTTGATGCCATTTGACAACAAGAAGTCAAGGAAGCAAAGGGAAAATAAGTCCCAGAAAGGGAGGTCAGCTTCCTCAGATCATCAGCGAGAAGGGAAGCCCCACTGAGAAGGGTGCCCACAGCCATGGAGCCAGGGCCTTGCACTCTCTTCATTTCTCTCAGCCTTGGAGTGGGTGCCTGTGAATTCCCGGCCCATGATGGTGACCCAGCAGACCGTGCGGAACCTGGCTCTAGGTGACAAGTTCTTCATACGTGTGGCTGCAGTGAGCTCTGCAGGGGCTGGCCCACCAGCTGTGCTGGACCAGCCTGTCCACATCCAAGAGATCATTGGTAAATCCTGCTCCCCAGCCCTTCCCAGGTACCTTATCTAATGGATGGAGAAACTGAGGCCAATGGGTAGAGCGAACAGGGCAGTCATTTCCCCCCATCCCACACTCACGTGCACAAGCCACCTGCTATCGCCATTCTGCCTTAAGAAAGTCCCAGGTTCCTCAGCAGCAAGGGGCCTCTAGAGGTCAAAGAGGCCATTTCCCTGAATGGCCCAGCCCCCAAGCTTCCTGACCTCCAGAAGTGAGAGCTCAAGCTCCCCAGGTCACCTGCCTCAGAGTCCCAATGCTTAGAGTCATTTCATTCTTCCTACCTAATCTTAATTCCTTCAGCGGCCATGGAAGCTCATTTTCTGCTCATTTCATATGGCCTGGGTTCCAGATAGGAGTCTTTGCTTGCCTCTTGCTGCACCACGTCCCTAGTGGGAAGAAGATTAACGCCCTACAATAGGCCGGTGAAGGTTTCTCCATCCCCAGAGGCCAGTGCTGCCCTGGGAACCTGGGAGGCCAGCTGCTGTCCCCTTGCTAAGATTTCTATTTGTAGGGTGCATTAGCCTCAAGCCCTCCCAGGACCGATCAGGTTTCAGTCTGTTAATGGCAGTGAGTCACTTGGTCTGATCCAAGGTTTCTGGGGACAGCCCAGAGCCCCAAGGTGACAAGAGACATAAGCCAGCAGGTGGCCTGAGGCCTTTTCCACCTTTCTCCTTGTTCCCCCCTCCTCATCTTGACCCCATAATTCTGGGCAAGGCCTCCAGACAGAGGGGATTTCATGGCCACAGAAGGAGGTCAAGTTTGGATTCAAGGAAATACTTTTCAACTCTAAGGCCTGAGAGATGTGGGCACCAGGGGGTTGGGAGTGTAGAACTGTAGACTGGCACGGCTTGTCCATCCAAGCCAAGCAGGTCCAAAGGCACCCAGGACTCCCTTGAGGTCACCTAGCCTATTAGTGGCAGTCCCAGAACCTGACTCCCACACAGGCCAGTTCATGTCTTACCAGGCAGCAGGGACTCTTTTTCTGGTGGTTTTCAAAACCAGAGGCCTTTCCCCTCCTTTGAGTCTTGGTGAGACATGGTGCCACCTGGCAGCTTAATATGGACTCACCGATTCTAACCTGGGAGTGCCAGGAAGCCCTCCTTGTTGGGGAGTGGGGTTGGTGGGCATCCTGGACCTTTTCTGAGGGCCCAGGGATCTCAGACTCTGAGAGCCTGCAGGGGCCAGGGTCCTCTACTTCAAGGCCGAACACTGGAGGAGTCCGCTAGACTCAGCGCCCTCTACTCCATTAAAATTCCTCTGGCAGGAGAGAAGGGGATTTCCTGGAGAGAAGAGGGGAGAAGGCTGTGAATAAACAGGGAGCAGCCAGCCAGACCCCCCTCATGGGCAGGGCAGGGTGGGGACCCTGTCCAGAGTCCTCAGCTGCTCAGCTGTCCCTCCTCAGCCACCTGGAGCTGCCAAGCATTCCTGGCCCCCTGCAGCTGCCCCTGGAACATTCCACGCCTGATGCTCCCAGGGCCAAGTGCCTGCACAGCTAATCCTCAGAGACACCGTGTTCCTTCTGTCTCCTCCCTCTCTGCCCTGCATGCCACTGACCAACTGCTGCCACCTGTTTGCCACTGAGGAGCCTCAGCTACCACCACCCCTGCTCCCGCCCAGGGGGAGAGTGGCAGGGGCTGTTGCAGCTTCCCTTGGAATGCCCGACAGTTTCAGCAGTTGCACCTGATTAGGTGATAGGAAGGTGGTTCTCTACCGTAGCATGGGGCTGAAGTAAAGTGTCTGGAAGGACTCCCCCACCGCAGACTGAAAGGTAGTGGCAGGAGTAAGAGAGAAGGAAGGGGGGTAGGTCTGCTCTGGCTTCATTTAAAAAGGGAAAGATCCCAGTCCTCCCATATGGCTTGGAGACAGAGCAGTGGGCAAATGGGTCTCACAGGGGCTTCTCTGAAGGTCTGAGCTGTTCACAGCAGAAGGGCAGAGGGACTGGGAAGACAGTGTCGCCACCCTTCCAGGGAATGCAGGCCCACAGGCGCAGCGCACGCTGCCCACCAGGGGGAGCCAGGGAGCCAGCTGGGGCCCATCTGGAGCCCAGGAATACCAGAGCTGCAGGGCAAATCCCAGCCTGGCAGGGTCAGGGCACCTAGGGAGTGCCCCGGATGCCTACCAGTTCACACCGTGGAGGCCCTGCCCTCCTGGAACCTCCTGGCTCGCAAGTCCCCAAGGGCCTCAGAGGATTTGGGTCCCTGGATCTGGGGAGTGAGCTTTGCCCTGTCCACAGGGAGGCAGCCTCAGAGCACACTCAGACCTCCTGCCCAGCCAGCAACCTTCTCCAGTTGTCCCCTGCCCCTGCCACAGAAGCCTCCGATCAGCAGCCCCGTGCTGTGCTAAGCCTCGCCTCTCGCTTTAATGCAGAGGCCCCCAAGATCCGCGTTCCCCGCCACCTTCGTCAGACCTATGTCCGTCAGGTGGGAGAGATGATTAACCTGCAAATCCCCTTCCAGGTGAGTATGCCTCCTGCCCAGGATAAGAGCTTGGGTGAAATAAGGGCCCCCGCGTGAGGTGTATTAGAGGAGCCCAGGAAATGTCAGGATCCCCGTGGAGGTCTGCCTGAGACCCATCCACCAAGATGGCCTCATCCTCCCTCTGTTGTATACGTGACTCAGTTGTGATTCTCCAGCCGGTGAACAGGACAGGTGGCTCCGGGGCTGGCGGGACATCCAGAGAATGAGGCTCTAGGCAGCACCTGTGGCTCTAGCCTCTGCTGCCCCTGCTCAGAAGGGCCAATGGGGCCAGCTCCCCTGGCACAGGGAGCCCTGGAGCTGAGTGGGTGTGGGGTGCTGGCGCCTTCTGCGCTCACCTTGAGGGCTCCTCCCTCCCAGGGGAATCCCAAGCCTCAGGCCTCGTGGACCCACAACGGTCACGCCCTGGACAGCCAGCGGGTGAATGTGCGCACCGGGGACCAGGACTCCATCCTCTTCATCCGCTCAGCCCAGCGCTCCGACTCAGGCTGCTATGAGCTCACGGTACAGCTGGAAGGCCTGGAGGCCAAGGCAGCCATCGACATCCTGGTGATCGGTATGGGGCCAGGGGAGGCAGGGCTGACTTGCTGGGGACCCAGAGACCTCACCTCCTGCCCCAGAACTGATGGCCAATGGGGTCAGGCCAAGAGAGAGTGATAAGAGCCAGATCTTGGGTGGGGGGATTTTGTAGCAAACCCAGCCCTCCCCGTCACTCTCTCTCACACTCTGGTCCTACAGATAAACCTGGATCCCCCAGCAGCATCAGGCTACTGGATGTCTGGGGCTGCAACGCTGCCCTCGAGTGGACACCACCCCAGGACACAGGCAACACAGAGATCCTGGGCTACACAGTGCAGAAGGCAGACAAAAAGACAGGGGTGAGGCCCGCTGGAGCAGAGTAAGGGGGGGAGGAAGGTCTGACTGGGGCTGGGTTTGTGGGTGAAGAAGTGGCCTAGGTGTCTGGGAAGGCCTGTCCACTAAGAGTCCACGGACTGAAGAGCTCTGGTCTGCCTACCACTAACCTGACTCCCTGTGTGGCTCTTGGCAAATCTCTTTCATCTCTGGGTTTCAGTTTCCTCCTGAAGACTGCAAGGGTGGCTCTCGGAGGCCCTTCAAGCTCTAGAGCAGTGCTTCAGGAAATGTAATGTGCATATGAATCACCTGGGAATCTTGCTAAAACGCAGATCTTAAGTCAGTGGGTCTGGGGTGGGGACTGAGATCCTGAACTTCTATGAAGTTCTCAGGTGATTCTTACTTTGCAGGACCTCGGGCCACATTTTGACCAGTAAAGTTCTAGAATTCTCTGAAGACCCCAGCAAGGTCTCATTCTCCCAGGGGTTCCTTCTCCCAATTTAAAGTCCCTCAGACCCAAAGCTGGATGTTTCAGCCTCCCAGGGCTGGGGCGTGGAACAAGCCCCTCTGAGGCAGAGGCCACAGGGGGAGCAGGGAGGGGTAGGGCAGGGGGGAGGTGAGGATGACAGGCCCAGGGTCCTTGCAGCAATGGTTCACAGTGCTGGAGCGCTACCACCCGACCACCTGCACTATCTCAGACCTCATCGTGGGTAACTCTTACTCCTTCCGAGTCTTCTCGGAAAACCGGTGTGGACTCAGTGCCTCGGCGGCCGTCACCAAGGAGCTCGCCCACATCCAGAAGACAGGTGGGTCTGGGTCCAAGCCCGGAAACCAAGCTAGGCCTTGCCATGCTGACCCTTCTCCCTGTCTCTGACGTTTCCTTGGTGTGTCAGCACCCCTCCCTGTGTGCTTCTCATGGGTGCCCACTTGCCAGAGCTTTTGCTGCCCTCTCCACACCCACTCCACAGCTACCCCCACACACACATTCACACCGTGTGACTGTAAAGAAATGGACATGGTTGATTGATTGTAACAAACACATCAGAGCAAACCCATGCAAATGAGGAGCACCCCTTGGGAGGCTGTGCACTTATTCTAAAGATGCTGTATGGCTGCCAACATCATAGCAGTCATTGGGTCGCCTGTGCAGTGTCCCAAGGGAGCTACTGTGAAGGGCAATGTGTGTGGATAGGTAGACTGGTGAGTTTGCTAAAAGCAAACTCCCGACCCTAATATAACACCACATAGATGGACAAGAGAGATATGGGTATTTACTGTCTCTATACAGGCACATGGCCCTCTTGCGTCAAATGTGAAATTCCAAGCCCTTTCTCCCTGTCCCGCTGTGTGCTCCAAGGCCCTCCCCCGTACAGTCTGTGCGGGCTGCAGAAAGCACACATTAGCCTGGACTGCACAGAATTAGGAAGAAATTTTCATTTAAAAGAAGAAAGCCAGTCAAGTCTCCAAAGACAAACAGAAATGAAATGTAGAATCCCTGGGTTTTTAGTCTCCACCCTCAGCCAGGATCATCTCATCTGTTTGGTTTTGCTGCCCACTCCCCTCTCTCCTCCCCTCTGTGACTCACCCAGCTGTCGTTCCGGCTTTCCTCTGCCTCTTTGAGACGTTCTGCCTCTAAGCTCCGGCATGTTGGCTGTGCCTGGCTTCCCAAAGACCCCAGGAGCCTAGGGTCCTGCCATGGGGCTCCAGATGAGGAGGCAGGGGTGAAATGGATTGTCTCCCGCCCTTAATTTTCCTCCAGACCACCAGCTCTCTGCTCAGAGAGCCATAGTCATCATGTGACCTTCCATCGCGTAAGCCGCAAACTCACTACGTGATATTGGGCAAGTCCCTCATCTATGGAAAGTCTTAGTTTTCCATCTGTCAACTGGGGATGACAAATTTATCCTTGCAAAGGAATGCTGTGTAGATTAAATGGCATACCGAAGTGTAAGCTGTAGTGATTTTAAGAAAATGGATAAAGTCAGTCTTAAGAGGTCTCCTCCTGTAACCTCAAATTCACCCTACTTTCTCCCTCCAAACCAGATATTGTTGCCAAACCTAAAAGTTTTGTTGAGCGAGACTTCTCAGAAGCCCCCTCGTTCACCCAGCCCCTGGCTGACCACACCTCCACCCCTGGCTACAGCACGCAGCTCTTCTGCAGTGTCCGAGCGTCACCCAAGGTGAGGGGCAGGGCCCTGCTGTGCCTTGGGCAGGGGCACCGGGGTTGAAGAATCTTCCCAGGCATCTTTCCCTAAGTGGAGGATGGCCTTCGAGAGCCTCGTCCTGGCCCACAAACTTCCCAGCTCTCCTCTGACCTTGCTTCCCCAGCCCAGGATCATCTGGATGAAAAACAAGATGGACATCCAGGGTGATCCCAAATACCGCGCCCTCTCTGAGCAAGGTGTCTGCACCCTGGAGATCCGGAAACCCAGCCCCTTCGATTCCGGGGTCTACACCTGCAAGGCCATCAATGTGCTGGGGGAGGCATCTGTGGACTGCCGGCTGGAGGTCAAAGGTGAGGACTTGAGAGGGGTCACTCCTTAGGAACCCTCCAATGGATGGGAGACCAGGAGAAGCCACCTCTTCTCCTGCTGGACTAGACGAGGCTGAGCGCTGAAAATCAAGGCAAGACAGGGGTAGTGAAAATCGAGGTCAGGCTGTCAGAAGGACTTTCTAAGAGGGAGGATGGCTTAATGTGGGTAAAGGAGGTGGTAGAGTCTGCCTCGTAGACAGATGGATCACTGGGGTGAGGGCATGAGACTCACTCACCCCCGCTCACCCCCCACTCGGGTCCCCAGCAGACACCCACCCCCTCCCTGAGCGCTAACCTTCAGATCTCTCCCAGCCTCAGCCACACACTGAAGAGCCACTGGTGGAGGCTGTGATGAGCAGGAAGGTAAGTGGCTGCATGCACTCCCTCCGCTGCCTCTGGGGCTGGAGGCCAGGAGCAGGGGTGGGAGTGAGAAGGGAAGGGGGCAGCCAGCTCTGAGTACAAATCTGCAGTCACAGGCAACGAACACGCACAGTCCTGGGGGTGCTCCACAGACGCTGCAGGGCAGGGTGCTGCTGGCGAGGCCTGGAAGGGATGGGCATTCAGTGGAAGGGATTCAGTGGATGGTCAGAGGACAGGATCTAGTCCTGGCTCTGAAAGACCTTAGGCCAGGGCCTTCCCTTGGACCTGTTTCCTCAGTCAGAGAAGTAGGGGCAACATCCTTGCCCTGACTGCCCTCCCCAGGTGGTTCTGAGGCCCTGGACTAGTGAGGATGTATCCTGGAGCTGCAGTGGGCAGAGCTGAGACCTGGGCTTTGGGCCCAAGGGCCTAAGGGGAAGGAGGCCTGGGAAAGGAAGAGGGGTACTGCTTCGCCCTCCCCATATCACCCCTTCAGCAGGGCACGTATAGCCCAGCTCTGCCTAACAGCAGGGGCTCATAAAACATGTTCTCTGCTAGGTGCTGCAGGCCTGAGAGTTCAGGGCGGCCAGGCCCAGAATCAAGCTCCACGGAGGCCAGAGGTCCCCATCTCCATAGTGATGACTGATGGCTTTGCTCCTTGGTACCTGCCTAGCAGGCCCCAGGCCAGGCTTCCTGGATACAAGGGGCCCTGGAAAGTGCAGAGGCTGGAGCGCTCCTGCAGGGAGCTGTACACTGGGCGAGAAGCACTTGAATAAAGGTGTGTGGTGATACAGTGCAGGGGCCTCTGTGACAATGAGCATCATCACGATGGGGGCGGCACTGCGTCACCACGAGGGGGCTGTTGAATGTGTCACCATGAGGGGGTCTCCACCTCTGACACCATGAGGAAGGTGCCCGTGGGAGGGGGCTCGCGGTGTCATGGGGCTTTTCCAGATATGAGATTTTTTAGGATCTCATTTCACATGCAGCGTTTGCTACCCTCAGAGGATAACTATAGGAACAGACACACCCTTCTTTGGAACCCTCCTTGCTCCAAATGCCTCCCAGTGCCCCCTCTCTTCACCTCTCCCTATCCCCCACCATTGCTTTTTCTCTGTTGAGGTTGTTTGTTGCCCTCAGACGGTGGTGGGGTACGTTCTCCATGAGGGTTCACAGTCTTTTATTAGTCAAGTGGCCCGCCCTGGGAGCCAGGGGATATCCCACCTCTGAGAGAGGGGAGGGCCTGGAATCATGTCTGGAGTTGCTATTCACACTTAGAACCTGGCCCCTCATTCTTCTGTATAAGGAGCTTTGGGCTTGGCCAGGAGTAGACCCTTCCCCAAGGGTTTAGGCTAAAGGCCTAGACTCTGCAACAGAGCCTCAAAGCCCATGAACACTGTGCTAAGTGTCAGGGGTACTGAGGGTACCTAAATTCTGGTAAGATCTTCCTGCCCATACACACAGGAGGGTAGTCTCCTCTGGCCTGACCACCCTGTCACACTTCATCCCAGCATGACCACAGCAGCCCACTTTCCCTTCTTCATCCGCTCCCCAGGCAGGCAGAATGCTCCCAAGAGCTGGCATGTCTGGGGCTCTCCTCTCCATCTGGCTCAGAAGCAACAGAGATGGGTGTCACCTAGGAGGGCACATGCCCATCACCGAGAGCTGGTGGCCCAGAGGACAGGCAGTTACACTCCAAGTCTCCTACTTGGGAGGCTCAAGGCAAGAATGAGGGCTCAACACTGTCTCCCAGTGGCTGTTTGAGGCCCACACCTACCATTCCACATTAGCTCCAGAGAGCTCGGAGCCCCCACTCAGGTCCAAGGGCTAGTGGAGAATAAAGCAAATACTGGAAATTATTTCTGGACTCGTTCTTTCGGCCTCTCCCAAGTATAACCCTGGGATCCCCAGGGCAAAGAGAGCAGGCACCCTGGCATGCAGCATGGCCAGGAACATAGGGTTCTGGGAGGTGGGGACTGAGGCTCCTTGCTTCCTGCCTGTCAGTGGCTCTGGCCACCTTCTGCTACAGAACAGGAGAGAAAACAAGGCCAGGACATCTAGTTTCTCCCCTTCCCTCCATCTTGGCGGGGATATTCTCCTCTCCTTACACTTGGTCCCAGGGCTGCACCACTACCACCTAAGACAAGCAGACTCCCCTCCCTTCCTGCCACGGGAGCTGAGCTTGCCCTCCTGGCCCACATGGCCCCATGGCAGTCTCAGTGTCCCCAAGCCCCACTCAGCCTGATGTGCTGGGCTGCCTGTGGGTTGGTCAGGCAGGTGGGGAGGGTTAGGGTTAGGGTGCTGCCCCCACTTTCCTCGTCCCCTCAGGTTACCTCGTTCTTTCCCCATGGACTGCCCTCCCAAAACTCCTCCAGGACCTCGAGGTGCAGGGCACTCACAGCCCAAAGGCCAGTAGGGAAGAGTCAGGGAGACAAGGGAGACGAGCAGGACAGCAGGGAGGTGAGTACTGGGCTGAGATGCCCCAGATGTGCGCAGCTGGGGGCAGGAGGTGGAGTCTAGTCATCGGGCCTCTCTTCTGGAGGATCCTCATCGATGGGGGGTGCAGGTTGGCAGCGGAAGTGGTCGTTCCAAATCTTAAGGAAGGTAACCCGAAACTTCTGGATGCGGAAGGCATAGACGATGGGATTCATGGCCGAGTTACCATGTGTGAGGAAGATGGCGATGTACATGAGGAGCCTCGGCTTATGGCAGGAAGGGCAGAAGAGGGTGATGCAGTTAAGGATGTGTAGGGGTAGCCAGCTGAGAGCAAAGAGGAAGAGGATGAGGGCCAGCGACTTGGCGATCTTCAGCTCCTTCCCATAGTACTTCTGCGGGTCGCCAGAGGATGCCGACACCTTCCTGTTGAGCTGCTTGCGGATCAGGTAGAAGACCTCCAGGTAGATGAAGACCATGAGCAGCAGTGGGGGCAGCACCCAGACAAAGAAGTTGAAGTAGACCATGTACTCCATGCTGATCACCTTCTCAAACTGACACTTGATCACGGGCTCACCTACACTGCCATTGGCCACCCAGGCCCGCTCCACCGCACTCAGGTTGTTCCAGCCGAACATAGGTGTCAAGCCCACCACAAAGGAGAGAATCCAGCAGCCAACGATGGCCACCACAGCCCTTCGGGGAGTCACCACTGTCTTGTACCTGGGGGAGAGGAGGGCAGAGTGTGAGGCCCCCTCCTCAGTTCACCCGGCCCCGGGGGTCTCTATAACTGATTCAGGGCCCAGCCAGGGCCCAGTGAGTGGGGAGGTGCATGTCTTTGGCTAGAGGGTCAAGTCTTTGGGATCTAAAATTTAGGCCAGAACTTGCGATGCACTGGTTCATGTCTACTGCTGAGGGTGGGAAAAAACAGAGAAGAAAATAACAAATGAATTCCTTTAGGAGTTTCACTAAAATTACCAAAGTAAAAATTGCTCACATGTGCTTGGCACACCCCCACTGGTGACCTTATCATTGCTTCATGACAGTTCCCATGGGGTAGAAAAGCACCAGCAGAATGAATGCCCATTTGACAGCTGAGAAAACTGAGGTTCAGAGTAGCCACGTGTTCTGCCCGAGACCACATGGAGGGTGGCAGCGCTGTCCTGTGCTTCCTAACTGACCACAACGACAAGGTGATTGACAAACCACCCCTCCCCTTGGGCCAGCTGACACACTATCATAAAAAGCCTTCCCACACCCCCTCCTTTCGGCTGCGTCCCATCTCTGCCAGTGCCCCCATCTCCCACCTCCATCCTTACCTCGCCTCCCCTTTCAGTCATGTACAGTACTTATCTCCTGAAGGGCTGATCTCAAGAACCAGCTCTCCACCCCCAAGCTAATTGGGAATTATTCTCAGGAAAGAAAACTGATGTTCACTGAGGACTGCACGCAAGGGACTCCCACTTATGCATGCATGCATGGGTGTCTTCATTCATTTTTGCGTGCTTTCTGTGCCATTGGTCTCTGTGCTAGGAGTAAGATAAAGAATCCCTACCTCTATGCAGCTCACATTTTGGGTGAAGAAATAGATAACACAAAAGTAAGGAAATAAATAAACAAGACAGCTAGAGGTTGTGATATGTCCTTTGAAGGAAATAAGCAGGACGATGTCAAGGGGCAGAGCTACCAAGCTTTTTCATGCCATGACATACACAGATGATGAAAACATTTGGATGACACAGAAAATGGATGAGGCTGCCCATGGGCCGTGACTCTTCCCCCACCCCTGCCCCCAGGGTTGAGGGGATGCCCCTCCGAGGGGGGGCTCCCCACTTCCCTTTAAACCAATCCAGCCAGCAGCCAGCATGTCCTCTGCCCACGCACTGGCCTTGGAGCTAGCGCCAAGGGCTGGGGCCCGCCCAGCTCTGTGCTGAGGAGCTGGCTCAGCCCGGCAGCTTGCCCAGTTGTTATTTTCCAATGTAGCTTCTGGGATGGAGGGAGTCCCCTCTTGAGCATGTGAACAGCTACTGAGACCCACAGGTGTGGAGGCGGAGGCCTCCCTCTGACTCCGTTTTCTTCTGTCCTGTGCCTGTGGAATCTGCGGCATTCTCCTTCACAGCAATGATTCTTCAGGTCCCTCTCACCCTGGACCAAAGCCCACCGCTCCTTGAAGGCTTTACAGGAGTGGGAAGGGGAACGATGTGAGGGATGGGAGAAATTGGACCCCACCCCCACTCCATGTAGAAAGCAAGCACTAGATAAGCAACCTCATTTCTAATCTCATCATTCCAGTGGGGAGACTGAGGCCCCTAGATGACTCCAACACCTTCAGTGTGGTGCCCAATCCCCTACTCTGTAATCATATGGTCCTTGTGTCCCCAAAGCTCCAAGGGGCCTTGAAATCTGGCCAGTTTGCTTCTGCCTTCCTGAAGTTTTCTTAGGTCTAATCCTTGCTCTCTTGCTGTAACTAAAGCCTATTTCCACCTCTTGAGTCCCCAGCAGGAAAGCCAGCCTGGTGCATACTTTGGAGTCAGAGAGATCCATATCTGGGCCCCAGGTCTGCAACTTACTAGGTCAGTTCTTCCCCTGTAAAGTGAGACTGTGGGACCCACTTCAGATGAGCTAACATATGGGAAATGCCCTGTAAGCACGCCACCAACATTCCTGTGCCTGAGCTCCTAACCCTCCAAGCCCCTGAAAACACACGCACCGGAGAAACCCTGCTATCTCTAGATGCTCAGCAAACACAGCATAATGGCTCTGTAAACATCTGGCTCAAGGTTTGTTTCTGATGAGCTTAAAGTGCTTCCCACATGTCCTAAAGTGAAAGAAGCTCTGGGCAAGTCCATCGGGTGAGACGAAAGGAGCGCAGGTCATTCTATCAAAAGATATGGGGAGGGGGAAGGGTAAGCTGTGACAAAGCGAGAGAGTGGCATGGACATATAGACACTACCAAACGTAAGGTAGATAGCTAGTGGGAAGCAGCCGCATAGCACAGGGAGATCAGCTCGGTGCTTTGAGACCAGCTAGAGGGGTGGGATAGGGAGGGTGGGAGGGAGGGAGACGCAAGAGGGAAGAGATATGGGAACATATGTATATGTATAATTGATTCACTTTGTTATAAAGCAGAAACTAACACACCATTGTAAAGCAATTATAGTCCAATAAAGATGTAAAAATAAATAAATAAATAAAAATTAAAAAAAAAAAGGCTAAGGTACTCTGCCACAGCTGTCACAGGCAGGGTGCAGGTCCCTGTGGTGAGCCGCCGCAGAGCCCAATGGAGCGGCAGCTGCGGAAGGAAGGATGTAGGCCAAGTACCCCCTATCACAGCCCATCACAGCTGTGATTTACATCATATTGATCATTTACAAAGTCCTTTTACGTTCATGTCCCAGGTAATCCCCGTAACCACCCTGTGAGGTGAGTACAGCGCAAAATGGAATCCCCATTTTACAGATTAGGAACTCGAGGTCCAGAAATGGGCAACGACTTGCCCACATCTCCTGACTCCAAGACCAGCTCTCCTCAGGGCACCAGGCTGACTGTGGGTTGTTTAGATATGGATGACTGGCAGATTGGGAACATCCCTTTCCTACAAGCTTTAAAATGGGAATGTCTAGACCCTATTCAAAGGTGGTACCACCCAGAGAAAGGGGGGTAGACAAAGTGACCTCTGGTATTGCCGTCCAGCCTGAGGACTAGGGGAGGGGGTATCTCGCCCAGGACCCACATTTGGGCAGTGATGACCCACCAAGAGAGGAGGTGAATTCTGACAGTGTCCCAGGTGACAGAGGAGGAGGTAACTTCTAGCTAGAGAGGTACCGCCTTTTCTCTTCCCCTCACCCTTCCCAACTGCCTGGAGCCCCGGGGGTTAAAGCTTTCCTAGGGCTCCTCCGGGCCAGGTCCCAGCAGACCCTGCAGCTTAGGGTATCAGTTCTCATCTGTTTTTCTTGCTATTTTCTCCATGGTGGGAAAGGGCTGGACCCAGGACTTTGGCTGAGGTAGGGCTGGCTCTCACAGGAAGGGCTGCCTCTCAGAGCTGGGAGAAAAACTTACCTCTCCCTACACGTGGGAAAGAGAAGCAGAGGCTGCAAGTCCTAGAGTGCACATGGGGTGGGGCGTGCTGAATGTGCCACAAACACTTGTCCCACCAAGTCATGGTCCAAGGCATCATAACCCCCAACTTTATAGACAGCCCTGTGAGAGCTAGCCAGAGAGATGGCTGTCCTCAGGAGTGTGCAGTCTCAGACAGACAAAGGGGAAGCAACAGAATGGAGGCACTGGAACACCAAGTGGAGCCCTGTCCACAGGCAAGCAGGGCAGGCAGCTCCTTAAAGACGTTGTTGAAGAAACCAGGGAGAGCCCTGCCCGCTCCTGTAGCTCCCACACAGTGCCTAAAATTCCCCCATTGGTGAGATGTTCCTTTGGGTTAAGAATCGCCCTCTCTGTGTGTTATTTTTAAAGCCAAGATAACGCTGACTCCGTAGTATGAATTACTTTGTTTGTCAGTATCTTCTTATTGATGATGAGAAAAATGAAAAAACTGGGTACCTAGAGTAGTTGGGGTGGCAGAGACTCCAAGAGGAAAAGGGAGAGCTTAAGGAAAGAGGTCGACGAGTCTCCTGTTGCCAAGAGCTGGCCTAGCTGAACAGACAAGTTTTTCATAATATAGCTGCTGCAAGAATAAGTAAGTGTGGTTTAGAGGTCAAAGTTAGGGAAGGAGGGCTACAAATCCTGTACCCAAATAGGGCAAGGCAGAGGAAGCCTTTGCTACTTCCCTGGACACCTTGGCAGGGCTGCCAAAGGAGGGGAGGAGGTCCTGGAGGCTAAGGGAGGGGGGATGCTCAAAAATAATAGTTAACTGATTGACAGCAATAATAACAATGCTGATAAAAGCTAACATTTATTGATGCTTTTCATGTGCTGGCACCAACTTTATAGACAGCCCTGTGACTTAGGCATTATTATGATTATTATTCTCATTTTCTAATCGCAGTAACTGAGATTCAGATTATGAAACATGTCCAAGGTCACTCAGTGAGTAAGAGGTAGAGATGGAATTTCTAAGACTGAGATTTGTCCTAGTCCAAAGCCCATGAAGGACGCCAGCTCTGCCACTTTGGGAAGATGGAGGACAAGGGGGCTCAGAGGGTGGAGGTCCAGTACAGAAGAAGGGAGTCATGGTGGACCTCCCCTGCTTCAGGTAACCGCCTGGCCTGGGCAGCTCTGAAGATGGCAGCAGGCCTGCCTGGGAGCCTCCCTCCTCCCTCCAAGTCCAACCTCTTTGTAGCCCTCAGACTGGTCTGTTCATGATCTGCTCAGCTGTTTAGTTGTCAGTGCTGGGGCAAGTAGGCAGCTGAGGCACCCTCCCTTTTCATTCATTAAACAGATATTCACGGAGGGCTCTTAGGTGCCCGGTTACAAGTGCCGGGTTCAGGAATATCGAATAGAACAGGCTTTCAGGAAAGTAACATTCTAGAGGCAGGGGATAAACCAATAAACAGATTGTTTGAGACCTACCAAGTGAAATAAATAGGACACCCTGAGAGCGAGTGGCTGGGCATGGAGTGCCGCTGGCTTAGGTTGTGTACGTGCTCAGGACAGCCTCTCTGGGGAGGAGACACTGAGCAGAGAGGGACATGATCACCTAGGACAGCCCGGCATGAGGTACCAGCAGGCAAAGTCCTGAGGCCCGAGTGGCTCAGGTAGCAGAGCCGCTA